TGAAGTATTCAGGCTTTTGTTGTTCGATAGACGTTATATAGGTTGGACTAAGTCGTAAAAGAGGTCGATAGTAGACCTGAAATAACTAAAAATTTCTCAAGAACAGTATTGACATAAAAGCGATGTTATCTTGAATGTCTTTCTTAAAGTTTCTTATTTTTTATTTGAAATAGATGTTTTCTTATGTATCTTGATGAGCTCTGTCCAACCATGACGGAAAAAAGAAGAAAAAACTGCAAGCAGCTTACATATATTGTAAACGTCTTTAAATCGAATATGTGAGTTTGTGCACTTCAACAACAGCCGACATTTTTAACTTAATAATTTTTCGGTGAAAATTTTTATTTAACCCGAATATATTTAATCTTTTTTTAACTGCAATATAAATATTTCCATTGTTACACTCACAATTCTCAAGTGCTTTCTTATAGAGGATATCGACGTCGGAGAGGGTAAAAAGCGCTCCTCTAATCACACCCCGGCTTCTTAGCCGCAACACGTCTTATCGAACTGAAACGTTTTTCTAACATATCCTAGACACTATTTGAAGTATCAACGTTTTTTGGTTTCCGTTTTATCTTGTTTGATTCGAATAAAAAGACTCAAATATCGAGTGTCGCTCTTCTAAACTCACCAGAGTAATATTGTTGAAAATAAAAAAAGGAGGGCCGTACCTCTTTTCTGTAAAAATCAATTTTGAGAAAAACAAAAAAGAAAATTTTTCGTATGTATTCGGACTTTTTTCTAAATTAATCTAGCCGCGTTTCAGTGGCATTAGGATTCCATGAGCAATGTTTTAAGCATCTCTAGAATGAAAAATAATTATCATCATTAGGAGAATTTTGTTATAGAATAGAAAATTAATAAACATTACTAACTAACAATGAAGATCTCTCAATTTCACAGAGAAGACATTAGGACTATATTAGTGATGAAAAATGAAAAATAGTTTGTGTCCAAGGAAATAGCTGGACGGTTGAAATAAAAATCTATGTCGATTAGCTGAACGATGTTCAGCTAAAATAATTAATAATTCTATAATGTTGTGAAAAACCTAATAGATATTTATCTACCTTTAATAATTGATTTCCTAATTGTATTAATATAGATAATATTTAGAAATAAACGTTTTTCTCGAATCATATTTGTACGATCATCATTTTTGTTTTATTAAATATTTTTTAAATGTTTTCTAATATATATGTTTATATTGTTCAGTTGTATATAATTGATTTATTTCATTATTTTTTAATAAAAAAAGTGTTTGATAACGATTGTGATAATTGTTGATTAGTTAAATAATGAATATAATTAAAATCTTTTATTAATTATTGAAATTGATTTGAATATGAACAAAATTTGATAAAATAAGATAAAGATTGTTCCAAATATTGATAAAGATAACATTTGATATTGATATTAAATAAATAAAATAAAATAAATTCAATGGTAAAAAACAATTTTGAAATATATTTGGTTGAAATTATTGATAAAGATATTTAAATAAATGATTAGAAATATCTTCATCTTATTATATTATTTGGAATATATTTATATAATTTTCTATTGTTTCTCTATTAAGATCTTTTTATTTAATTTCTTGTTTAACAAATTGTAAATTTGTATGAATTTGTATTTCAATAAATAATTGTTTATCATTGATTTGTGGACAAATTGTTAATAAAGATTTGAAGAATTTGTCGAATAAATATATAATTTAAATTATTTTATTGTTCTAATCTATAATTTAATTTATATTTAAATAATTCTTGAAAATGATTTCTTAATGTTGAAATTGTTATTATGTTAATATTATCTTAAAAACTTATTGTTATAGTTATTAATAATAATGATTGAATATAATAATTTATATAAATTATTTATTTATTCTGATGTTCAAGTTAAATTTTCTAATAATATTTAATAAAGAATTAAATAAAATAGAGAATATGATTTTTTATTTTTATTTTTAAACGATTCAATATTAGTAAATCTGATTTATTTTCAAACAAATTCTTTTATATATTTATCATCTAGAACTTTTTTGTTTTCAAGACGAAATAAATCTAATATGTTGTTTCATAAAATATATTCATATTTTCAATAAATTCATTTTATGCTGATAAATAATCAAGTATACGCCATAAAATATGATTATATTCTTTTATTAATCTATTAGTCAATCCTTCTAAAGATTAGAAATAACAAAAATTTAATGCCAACAATTATTCTCACTTTTATCAAAGAACGTTTTCAACGGATAAATCGCTTTTAAATTCGGACTCACTGGATAAAGTAGACTCTTGTGAAATATGAAAAAAAACGTGATAAATGCCCTTAGGTTTTTGGTCCAGATTTGTAGGCATTTGTTAATGGAAGTTTAGCCTTCGACATGGTATATACCAGCAAATCGAACGACGGTATTTCGACCTGAGATTTTGTCCACAGTCAGATCTATTTGTTAGTAGAATGCGTCGACACATTTCAGGTGAAAAGAACGTTTCCTTCCCGAGATATTAAAGTTCGAAAAAAGAGAAAATTCTACCATCGTTTCCTAGTGCACAAATTATTTTTAGGCTTTTATATCTCGGAAAGGAAATTGTCTTTAGAGCTGGAATTTTCAGAGGTTTCTACTGACGAAGAGATCTGTCCGTGGGAAAACCTCAGGTCGAAATCCTATCATTCGATTTTCGTAGAAAATTAAAAAAAACCAAATCCTAATTAAGAACAATTATTTATCGGCATTAGAAATTTGCAGAATAACCTTTTTTCCATACGTTAACTGAGAAAAATTTTCTAAACCTTACCCAACCCAAGAAGATATCTACCTTTAGGGAATTGCGGGTTCATGTTTTCGTGGATTCGGAGGCAGTTGAGTCCAAGAATTTTGGACTCACACCCGAACTCTGTGAAAGGCAACTTTGATATAATGAAAAAAATTTTCTATAGCCCTTCTTGTCATAGAAGAGCATGGTTCTTCTATTATGTTCAAGCATGCAAACCTTCTAAAGTAATCTTCGATTCTATCTCATTTATTTTTAGAATTTTTAATTAAAAACATTTTTTAGAAAACACAAAGATCTTCATCTCAAAACCCTGAAAACTAGGCATATTTTTCATGTAGAGATACTCATTTTTCCGATATTGAGAGTCTTCTATTGAGGGAAGAGGTTTACCTACTATTGAATAATCATCCCGAGGATATCGGATATTTTCGTTCGTCTTTTTCTATTCGGTAACTAGCGCAAACTACGCATTCTTCATACCAATCGGGTCCAAACGTTTTTTCGAACTCGAATTCGGATCCGACGGGTTCTACCTGCCACCCATTCGTGTACATGAACAAGTAAAAGATGAAGGTTTTAGCTATTTATTCGCTACTCTCAGAAATAAAGTTCATCATAAAGTCATATATTGTTACTCTAGTTCTTTACTGGAAAGCAGCGAGTCCACAAAAATGTGTAACTGGATCCGACAAAAACTAAAAGATTGAATCCGTAGCTTCCTACTTACCCTACCCTCGTTGGAAGAGTCTAAAATTGATAGATAGGAAAATAGTATTAGGTTAGAGATGTCCAAGATTATCCTCGAGATCTCTAATCAATATTCTTATATAGGAATTCTAAGAGTAAGTATGCTCATGTGATTATATGTATTAACCTTTAGTTATTTTTCTAAAATCTAATTGTTGAATAAGATAATTATAAAGATTTTAAAATGTAAATCCATGAAGATAAATTGAATTATTTTGTTCTAATAATTTGATAAAAATTTGTTGTTGGTCTTATATCATTGTTTTGATATTAATTGTTGAATTTGATAATATATTCAAATAGAATTAATAAATAAATATTATGTGTTTTTTTTATTTGAATAATTTCAATAATTTGTAAAAGAATATTTAAACACTTGTGGAATTGTTATTTGATGAAAAAATCTAAGAAAAATTTGCAAAATATTCAACTGTTAATTGATCTGTTGAATTTGAGAAATAGTTTGAAGAAATTATCCCATAAATAAACATATTAATTGAGAATTTTTTCCTTTTAATATTATTTAAAGAAAAATTCTTAAATTATTTTGAAGAAATTTAAAATCTCTATGATTGATTTAATGAAATTCGAGCTATTTCAACTAATAAATCGTTCATTTGTAGATTAATATATAGAATTTTCAATAAGATTATGAATAAATCGTTGCTTTTGTTATTCAATGTTTAATTATCAATCTGATAATTTGTATTTAATGTTATTGTAAGATGATTAATAATAATTGCTTTATTTTTTATCAAGGTAATTTAATAAATAATAATGATAATCTTTATAAATAATATCATCTGCAGATAAATCAATTTCTAAACAACGATTTAATATTGTTCATTTACGATTAGTTTATGATAATGATCAACGATAATTTGTTTGTTGAGTTGTTGATGTTGATAATGATGAAATAAGACGATTTAAAATAATTAAAAAATAATTAAAATGTTTTATATTCTTGTAAATAAAACAAAGGTTGTGATGATTGAAGTAGATCTGTTATATTGGGAAATGAAAATATTTCATAACGAGCATCAATAAATTCAATATTGAAATTCGAATATGATATATTATTGATTAATTCTCGAATTGAAAATATAAGAATTGGAATAAGATGAATTAATAGATTGTTTTGCAGATCTAATAGAATAGAAATAAGAATTTTGGAGTTAACTTTTTTAAATATTAACTTAGATTTTTGATTGTTGTTGCGTTTCATTTTGATTCTAATTAATATTCTGAAGAATTTTCTTTAATTCATTTTGTTAATGTAATTGACAATAAAAGATAATAATTAAGAAAACTATTTTGTGAATTTTCAAATCGAGGTGAATATCGTATTATATCACCGAGTTTAATAGATATAGGTACGACTATCATGTTAAATTTGATTATTATTTATTGCTAACACGAACATATTTCAATCAAATTAGAAATGAATTAAATGTCATAGGAATAAGTTTATTCAGACGATTTTCATCAAGTGGTTCTATTAATGTCAATTGAATTCTACGACGTGGAAAATCAAGATCATTTTTAATTGATACTAAGTTATTTAAAGAAAAAATAATATATATATAACATCTCAAAAGACGATGTTTTTTTTTTAATAAAGTATTTCTCTTGAAATAGTCTATCATTATCAGAAATAATTATATTATCATGAATAATATGATTTATATTAATTAGTTGAACCCATTATCAATGGAATATGAAAGAATATCTGACTAAAATAGTCTTAGCCATGGAATTGTTTGAAATCATTGAATAGAACGTTGACTGATATGTTCGAAAAATTAATTTTGTTAATTAAATATTTTCTCATAGGATAACAACGATTCGAAGACTATTAAGTATAACCTTCCATCAGAAGTAAAACATTTTTTTCTCTTACATGATAAATAAATAAATTTGTAATCCGTCATGTCACGAATAAGTTTCAAGAGAAAAAAAATTTCTCAATAGATTATCCAATATGGATGTGACGCCTCTTCGAAGATCTCCTAGGCTCTCCTGATAGAGCCCATTCAATCGAAAACTTTCGGAATTGTATAACCACTGTGAACGATAGAAGATATTTTATTCGTCAACTAACACATCCTAGACATTTATCAGAGCTAGAGCCTGTCGAGTCCAACGTCTCGAAATAACCCATTGGCTCTATCTCCTGGATTTTCTACGACACGTTATGTGTTCGCGATTCTAAAAATAAATGTTTGCCCGCACGAACTTCTAAATCGCGCTTCTGAAACAATGGCGAACATAGTAAAAAACATTTTTTGAAATCAAATGAGAGGTTGTGTCGGCTCACTGTTGAGAAAAATGGTTCGAAAGGAAGGAGCGATCGGCTCTAGTGGTCGCGCTCTAAATCTCTCACTGTTCCGGAAAAGTAAATCTGGATGAAATATAAAAATTTAGTCGTTTTTGTTTTCTCAAGTTTGGTAATAATAAAGATTATCTCATCAATTTTGTATATTGAAATGATTTCAATGTAATCTATAGTATCGATTCTAATCCCATTAAGTTTTATTCTCTTTGTCTTACATATCTCTATAATGGTGTTACATACTAAACATTGAAAATAATATTAATCGAGAAATCGTTTTCGATTATTTATTTATACTAAGTCTAATTTAATTAACGTTCCTAGGAAATGTTTATTTTTATGATGAACTAGCTGATTTTTGTCTTTGATGTTTATTTTCATTCGATGAATGATCTGATGTTGATAAATAAAATAAAAGAGCATTGCATAATGAATAAATTAAACCAGTTTGACGTCGAGTGATCATGGATTTCGTTGATGAACGTAATCGACAATCTAAATAAATTCTTAATATTATAACGAATAAATAAAAAAATTGTTTCGTTTTTTGTTGTTGTTAATCATCTTTATTTATTTGTGGTCTATCGGATTTTTTAATTAATTGAAAATAATCTTTAAATTCCGATGATGAAAGAAATGTTTGATAATAAGATAATGATTTTATTTTATTTAATATCGATGTCTAAAATAATAATAAAATAAAATGATAAAAAAGAAAAAAAAGTCACCTTGATATTTACTCGATTTGTATGATTTGTTTTTGGTAAACCATTTTCAAAAAGATATTTTAATAATAACGTTTCCTAGATTTATCACATCGGTATAATAAAAAAGGTTCAACTAAAAAATTGAACTGGATGAAAAAAATGATTTTTGTTTTTTTGAATATGTTTATCAAACCTCGTTCTAATCCTCGAACAAGATAACGTCTTGCTAGAATAACAAATCTATTTAAAAAATGTTCATTTATTGTATCTAGTCGACTGAATAGATCTTCCCTACAAAAATACACACGTACAAAAAACGGATAAATTTTCATTTGATTTTTTATTTTATTTTATAAAAAAACCATCGTAAAATTGATTGAATTGGATCATTAGATTTCGTACTGTTCGTATTATCGGTAAATGTTTCAATAAATGTTTTCCATTTGAATGTTCTAGTCGATGGACGATTGCCACTGCTGTTAGAACATCATCATCAGATGATGCTTGAGGTGTGACAACAGTCATTTTCTTTTTGTTGAATAATATAAAATATTGAAAATTTTCTTCAAGAATTTTCTGAAAAAAAAAATGATTTATATTTAATTCTAAGAGTCGTTTAACGATTTGTTGACTTGATTAAGTGAAAAAATAAAGGTAGATTATAAACGAGAAGAAAATAAAACTAAGTTGGTCCGATTGTTAAGTAAATAAATAGAAAACAAATAATTCCAATGAATCATACATAATCAATGAAAATGATCTACGATGTTTCAAAAACAAACAAAAAAAAAAGAGATCGTTCTATTCTGATTATAGTAGAGAATTTTTATTATTGAAAATCGATGGAAACTATAATGTGAATTATTAAATGACAACGAAATATGTCTTTCATTTTCACCTAGGATTTTATCATATATAACGTGAATGTGAAAGACGATGCAGCTGTAATTGATAATCACTAGGAGATTGATCTATTCTATCTATTCTATGAGATATTTATTCATTATCCTTCCAGTTAATCCTCGAGAAATGCAATAAGGAAATAGTTCATATCAATAACGTCTGGCCAAATGAACAAAGGATGAGTAGAAAGACTAATCGCTGTTCTAATAATGACGGCACGTCTCGTCTAGTCTTTTCCTGAAAAAGTCGTAGTACATGACTAGTTCAAAACGATTTCTTATCCATAGTCTACGTCCTGACTACTTGATTGACGGGCATTATTTTGTTTGTTATGTTTAACCTTTTGTGAGAAAAAGACTAGACATCTTGTACCGTCCGTCGAAAAAGATTTCTAAATAAAAAAAAGTGAGATCATCCACAAGGTTGCATACGATCAGTTGTACTCATATGTGTTGGTCTGGTCTAGACTAGTCTAAAAAATTGAAATATCTAAGAATGATAGGTAGATTCGAAGATGCATAGAATATGTCACTTACCTATTATTTAGCCGATTGAACTATACAAACAAGTGATCAACTTCTACATGTCAATAAACATTCTAAGATTCTATTCAATAGAATTTTCGAGTTTTTCCAAGTGTTTTGTATGAATAAAAAAATGTCTATAATATTATAGAAAATAAGGTAGATAAAGTCGAACTAGTTTTATTTTTTGAAAAAAATTCCTCTGGTAGCTGGTATTTAAGAGAAACTATTTTATATTGAAAAGAAATACATTACACAAATAAATTTCAAAAAAATTAATTTTTTTCACATCATGTTTGAACTCTATTTTAATTTAAATCCATTTTTAGTTTAAATAACCAGAATTGATACTTTAAATAAACTAGACTAATAATAAAAACATACTAAAATTATTTCTAATTTACGTTAGAGTTCAATAAATCTTAAAAAAATACAAATAGATAATTCTCGTTAACCAGCAAACAGTGTACTTTCTATATTCATATGCTTCTTTGTGTTTTAATATAACGTTGCAAAATTGTACAAAGAATATCCTCAATATATAAGAATATGATGCGTTACATAGGCTGCCAATCGTTAATATCATCCTTTATTTTCAAAGGGTTTTCTTGTTCTCATTTTAGTTAGAGAAAAGAGTAACGGCAATAACAATCGACATGTATATTAAAATAAATAAAATAATTCTTACTAATTTTCATATTTGTTATGTCTTATACCATATTTAACTGTCAATTATGAAGAGAAAAACGTGTTTTCAGATGATATTCTATCATTTTGAATATTAGACTTCAACAGGTTTGAGTCTCAAGATTGTGCACAATTTTAAAGCGACTATTTTAATTTATCGGGTTAATACTAGTTGATTCTTAGTTAAAAATAATAATGAAATTATTATTATTCTACTGTCTAATCTTCTATATTCTAAATAGATCTGATTATCCATCATTTGAAAACATAATAAAGATGCTCAAAAATTCCTTCGGTTGCAATCTACTTCTATTTCTGCCATTGAAAACCAGTCTAAACGAGTTGTTCAGGCACTTTAATACAAACGAGACGGCCTGTTTAAAGAACGTCGACTAGTCTGAACGTTGGGTTGACAGGACTTTCTCAGAACACAGAGCAGTTCTGATCAACACAGTTAATGATTGAGACCAGTCCCGATTACTATTGAAGACGTTTCGAATTATTCAAATCGCTTGTCTTCAACTGATTTCTAACCGTCTAGCAGATGGACGAGCGTTGCTTTGTCATATAGACTGTCTAAACTGACATCAGTCTATAATTATGTAATGGTTTGCCATCGAGATACCCGTCATATATCAAATACTATCGGGTGGAATATTCGAATCTACTTTTTGTTTCTTTTTTTCATTATTTTTCTGTACTAGTGACTAGTCTAGACGGGATTAACAGAAAAAACGGACTAGATATGACTAGATTTACGGATCTTCCGTATTAGTCCAGATGTAGTTGAAGGAACTTTCTTCTACAGAGAATCAGTTCTGATGGGTAGGCAAGACCTTTTAGACTACACCTGACGGGTAGTGTTGTTATGATCTGTGATGCGGGGGATGTTGTTAAGGCATATGTCACGGTCTCTGATGAAGAAGAGACATCAATAGGGATGTTTGTCATTTCTCTGATAACTTGTTTCTAAATTTTTAATCGATTTCGTCTATATGATAGATACCAACTGAACATGAACTGGTTCGTTAGTGACTGATCAGATTCCAGTACTAGTTTCAGATGAAATGAGTGAAAAATGTTGTTCTATCTTGGGAATGATCTTTCAGTAACAGAACAAAATTTTTATTGTCAGATATTTTGAATTACTTTCGATGGTTCCGATCTATTGAAGTCGGATTTTTGTCATTAGATAGAGCAATGCGGAGGGCATCTATTTATCTTATATTTATTACATTTCAGGAAGTTTTTCAAGGGAATTTGCCAGTGAACATTTATTCTGTTGCACATTTCTACAAGTTTTCCTAGGAACCTATGTTCAAATTATATGAAAATGTAGCTTGAAGAGTACTCTTTTCTCCATATAATTGTTCGATTCTTTCATCCGCACCTTAAGTTCATATGTTCAAGAGAAGTTTTCTGAAATCTGGGAATGTTTATGAACAAAATGGCTTACTCTGGCCCGTATTTTGGTATAAATTGACCATAAGTTGCTAGAAACACTTGTAGAAATGTGCAATAGAAAAAATGTTCACTTAGAAATCTTGTTGAAAACTTTGTAGAAGTTAGTAAGTATTACAAAGATAGATGCCTCTCGCATTGCTCCATCTAATGGCAAAAATCTGACATTGATAACTAGGAAGCATCGAAAGTTATTCAAAAAATGGTGGTTGGTTTTTAAAAAAAAAGTCCAACAACAATATACGTGAAAGTACCTTTCTCAAAAATAGAAAAGATTTTATTTGGAAAAGTCAGTTCCTATCAAAAGAACTATGTGCACTGTTTTTGTGATCGGAACGAATCTTTTCGAATAGATCAATTCAGATCAAAGACCATTTTCAACAAATCTCAACTTGAACTGAACTTGTCAATTATAACTTAGTTGAGAAAAATAAATTCTTATTCTTCTGAACTTTCCAATTCCTTTCTCGACTTTGAACACAAAAATCTACTTTATTATGCAATGATCGAGTCTATATATGTAACAAATTAATCTCTAACATTCTCATTTTGTCTATATCGTTGAGATCTATAAATTGAAAGAGATCATGAATATAGTATTAGAAAAGTTTTCTATAGAGTATAGAGAACTATAGTTAGGAATAGATATTATAACAAGATATATCACTCATTAAGAGTATATTAAAATGAGATGGTCTATTATATCAGGTCATATGAAAAGAATTACCAAATAACGTTTTCAAATCGTTTGTAACGAATTCTTACTGCACACATTGTTTAGGAGTAATCTTTAATGAAAATTATTTATTAATTAAGTTAATCAAAGTTCTCCAATGATGATCATTTGAAAAAAGCATTCGTTTTCTAAACAATATCCTACATAAGATAGATTGACATTTTTTCTTAAAACTAACAAAGTAACGTTCAATTAAAATAACATCTCTACAAGTCTAGAAAAATTCAGTAAAATAGCTGATTAGATCATTATTGAATCATTTTTTTCCTAGATAAGATTATATTGAATATTTTGAACGTACACTAAGATTTTTAACAAACTCTATTGAATGATTAATTTATTTGTTTCCTGATAATCGGTGCACATCTATTCGGAAGAACGTAAAAAAAAAGCAGTGACATATTTCTTTTGCAATAATGTGAACGACAGAACACATACCCGTCATCATTTTCCAATTGCAATAATTTCTCATGCTCTAGATATCTATCTCTTATCGTTTATTTTCTAGAACTAGTTACTCTTAACTATAAAGATAGAAACCGTTATACTTTATGCAAAAGTAATATAAGTTATTCTCTTACTCTCAACATATGACCATGATTATATGTCATCTATCTATCCATATATATTTGTTGTTAGGGAAGTAAGTTAAGTTCTTAATGATATATTTCTAGATTAAATGATGAATATATAACTTATTGTTATTAGTGGTATTTACTTCATTTGTTCAAGTGGTAACGTATATATAAAATGAAAGATGTTTTTTATATATTTTAATTTTTATTAATCTTTAAGATGAAATAATTCTTGCAAAGAAAGAACAAAAACTTACTCTACGTGGTCGAGTTATTTTTCCTAGTGGTTCACATATACCAATTGAACCTGATGGAATATAAACAGTTGAATTAGAATATACAACACTTGCTGATGCTCCAGTAAGAGTTATTGCACGATATATAGGTAAAAGATATTCGATTTCCAATAAAATATTGACCAAAACAAATTATTGATGGAAATTTTTATTGATAACATGTCAATATAATAAATAAAACTAATGAATTATTATATATAAATCATGTTCATATTAGAGTAAATCCAATTGTTCTTGATCGAACAAAATTTATTGATCTACCTCTTATACTTGTTAAATGTTACCAAAAAAAAACAATTTATTTTTACTAAATTTTTCTTGATAATTTTAGATAGAATATCGA